TTTGGGCATTGTGTGGTTTCTCTTATCATTTTTCTTATCAGATATAGCACTTGTAATTCAGTGTACAACAATATGATGTATGTTTGACAAGAAAATTTATGTTTGTCTGGCAATCTAAGCATGGTTGTTTCATGACCGAATGACTACCTCGATGATCATCTTTGCAGAGTCATGGAGGAGTCACCAAAATTTAGGAGAAATCAGCCATCGTTAAGGCCTTCCCTGCTGATTGCAGTCGTCGAGGCCTCCACGAAGCATGATTAATTTTTTTTTCTAAGCATGATCATCTAAGGATGATTTATTTTAGTTTTATGATTTATTTTTTCTTAGCGTCACCGTGGTATGCGTTACCACGGGCAATATACCGTGTATAATTAATGTTCCAAGAGATTAATACATGTGTAAGATATTCATGGAGAATTGGTAATTAAGCAATGAAGGACGATTGAACACAAGCCTGAGAGCACCAAATCACCAACGAGGCCTGATGTATATTATTAAAAAAAACATAACACAACTACACAAGTTCAATCCTAATGGTTTGATACGGGGTAACACGCTGTTTATCCGGAACCTGTTTGTAAAAAGCAAGAGGTTAAACGCTGGAGTACAAGTACAAATTTAATCCTGACATCCTCCAAGAAGCTAGCTGTGCTGTGCACAGAATCCTGCAGGCCCGAAGGACCTATATGTAAGGAGGCGACAACACAGCCAAGAACAAAGGAAAGGCCTGGAAGCCCGAAGCACCTGTTTGTAACACATCCAAGGAGCAGGAGGACCTATCTGTAAGCAGGCAGGGACCAGCGCGTAAAATCTCAAGGACCTGGTTGTAACAACATCCAAGCACCAAAAGGACCTATCTGCAACTAGGTAGGGACCGGCGCGCAAAATCTCAAAAAAATTTGGACCATTTCTCGATTTGTGCGTGTCATCCTTGCGCAGGGGCCATGCTAATCTTCTCTGTATCGTTCCAATTTTATCGGATGTCTCCGAAGAGACAACGCGGCTTGTGCGCTCGCGACTATAAGCAGGTGTTTTCGTTACTGCGCTTCCGAGGTGGTGCTAAACAACGTCGAACCTCCTGCTCCGGCTCCGCGCCGCGCGCTCTCGCAGTCGCACTCGCATAGCGGAGGCGTTTCGCGCAGCCAGTCCGTGGGCTGGTTTGTTTCTAGAGGCCCGCTCAGTAGAGCCACATGGACCTCTTTGTTGTACCGCATTGCCTCGTGTTTGTTTTGTTTTTCTTTTCTTTTCTTTTCCTGTTTTTAAATAAATAAATAAGATAATCTATAAATAACGTGGTCGAGTAATCAATATGCATGGCAGCCCACGGCAGAAACATGAAACGTACATGCAGATGGTGTACGTGCATGCTTTTTGCATTGCACACGTAGGAAGAATTGAACTGCCCGTTGTCTTTATATATGATGCAGTATAGCTAGGTAGCAAGCATAGGCGGAGCCAGGTGGCACGTTGTGCCATGGACCACCGTGGAATATGGATTAATGTTAAAACTACAGTATATGTGCTCTATAATATAAAAGAATATTGTATTTAGAACACTATTATTTGACTCATTACATTTAGGCCTCGTTCGGCTTACTCCATATCCGGCTTGTTCGGCTTCTTTTTTTTTTAGTCGGAACATTATTTTTTTCTCACAACATCTCAGCTAAAACAGTATTTTTCAGTCAATTTCAACCAAGATTCAGCAAGCTGAACGGGGACTTAGTTGGACCACCCTTGCATTAAACACTAGCTACGCCACTGGTAGCAAGGGACTTGCTGACTGGCCGGCCGGGCGTTGTATATATGGTCTGGGCTGTCGAGCGAGTAATCAACCTGCATTGTGTCCTCGTATAGTATCGTACCGAATATTCGAATGTGCTTGCATGATCGATCAATCAGGCGACCGAAACTGATGAATAATACAAGACCAAATTAGTTCCTCGGCCCTAAAAAAAAGTTGAGCTTAGTTTCTTGGCCCTATTTCCGTTAAACTTTGTTATTTGGCCCTGAACCGAAATTTTTTTAGTTCCTTGGCCCTCCCGTCCAATCCGTCCGCCTCTACCGTCAACCAGCACAGGGATCGTACGCGAAAAGACCAAAATATCCCCGTACCCCTTCGTCACCCACCAGAGCCGCGTGACTTCTCCTTCCCCGTACCCCTTCGTCGAAGCGCAGTCGGAGGCGTCGCTAGTTTGCGCGTCTTCCGCCCAAACCCTAAATCAGCGCTGGAGATGGATGGCTCCGACGAGCTTCCGTCGGCGGATCCACCTGGGCCGGCGCCGCATCCACCTCGTCCGCGGCACAGCAGGGCAGCCCGACTGGTGTCTGGGCTGTTCGCCCCTCGCGCGAGGCAGGGCGCCGCGGGCCTGGGCTCCGGCCGCGCAACCCAGGGCGCCGCGGGGATGGCTGAGGGCGCTGCGGGGATGGCCGTCGTCGCTCGGGCCTGGCTGCCGACCGCGCAAAGCAGGGCGCCGCTGGGCAGGCTGAGGAGGGTGATGCGGGGCTGGCCCAGCAGAGCGCCGCGAGCCAGGGCAACGAGGAGGGCGCCGCCGACGACCATAGTGACCCCTAGATCTTCTTGAGGCGGAAGAACTCCTCACGCTCGTGCTCGTCCAGCTCGCCCCTGATGTAGGCCGTAGGCGATGGTGTTCTCCAGGCGCCGGTTGGTGGTCTTGATGGCCGCGTCCAGCGACGCCACAGCTCCACCAGCATCTCGAGGGCGCGCGCGGCAGGCCGCCAGCTGCTGCTCGCCTCAGGTGAGCCCCGCGAGCGACGTCGGCGACGAGCCACCGGCGGCGGCGCTGTTGGCCAGGTATAGTAGCTCTTGAAGCGCGGGAGACGGACGCCGGCGATGTTATCCTGGTGCGCGCGCACACGCGGAGCCTGGCAGGGTCCAAGACGGACTGCTGCAAGACGTGGCAGAGAGGCTCGGCGAGGGAGAGCGAGGCGGCGCGCATGGCGTCCTTGGCGAACACGATGCGCTTGAGGATCCTCAAGCGGAACTGCATCATGTGAGCGCGCCCGATTGACTTCTTCTTGAGCAGCATGTGGCCGGGGGGTGACGCTGGCCAGCCACGCCTTCACCATGCCCAGCATCGTCATCGTGGGCACCACGTTCAGGCGCTATCCCTGCCCCGCCGCCGCACTTAGGCTCGCCGGAGACGATCAATCGCTTTTCTTGGACCTCCTCATCATGTCCGTCCTGTCCATATATGTGTACAGACTTACCGTGTCTGCATGAGCACCATTGCATGATTGGGTTGGGTCGGGCTTGGACGCGTGGTGTCGCGATAGTTATGGAGAGACTGAAAGCTATGGCAATATCTGTGCATGCACTGCGGCGCGCTTGTAGTTTCACCTTTTATTTTTGTGCACCCCTTTTAAATAATAATTTCATGCTTCAAAAAGTATTTTACTTATTTTGGAAAATTAATGATAATATATAGCCTGAGATGCATGTACCACTATACTGTACATTGCAGAAGTGTTTCATTTCGCTCCAAAGGTAAAAAGGTTATTTCATCTTGCTTTTAACACCGTCAACCAGTGAAACTAACGGAAGGGCCAAATTCCCAAACGAAATTCGATTCAGGGCCAAATAACAAAGTTCAACGGAAATAAGGAAACTAAGCTCGACTTTTTTTAGGGCCAAGGAACCAATTTGCTCATAATACAATGCAATGGCGGCGTGCGGACGGTGTCGGTGCCCAGCCCGGGTGGCCTGTCAAACCTTTGGTTGGGCTTGGGCCCGGGATGAGACGATCCATGACAATGGCTGACTTCCCAAGCTCATCATGTCCTGCTGTCAACAGATTTGAAGAGGAGACAGCATGTAGCGTTCGAGATCACATGATAATATATCAATAACATTTAGGCCTTGTTTCGATGCATGTTCAATCCATATGTGTTAGAGTGAAATGGAATAGAACTTAGCTTAATTACATTTCAATCCACTTCAACACATGTGAATTGAGACGAATACATGTGCATCCAAACAAGGCTTTAGGTGAGGATTTCCTCTCTCCGTAACGGTTCAAAAATAATCCAACGCGTCTGTATTGCGATTAAAAAATGATAATAATCCGATCGATACGCTAATATTATATCTAATCCACTCTATATATATTGTTGCGGCGATCCAGTCATCCAGAGGATGGTAATATATGGGTTTAGCTCCACGAGGCCACGACTTTTGAAATTTTGATCTACGCAACATGTACAGTTGTAGCATCTTTAGTTTTCATATATAAATAGCCACGCGCGCATCGCGAGCACATGCACTGAGAAAGTCAGCCGGCCGCTTGTGAGTTGGGACCGGCGCCGGAGCTTGCGTCGGTCGGTGTGGACGCGTCCTGATGGTACCGGCCGGCCGGCCGGCCAGCCAGCAGGACGCCGCCGCCGTAGACGAACGCCCGAGGAGAACAAGCAAGCAGGCGGCCAATGCACGCAAGCCGTTTGTGGAGAAAGTCTACAGTGCTACGGAGTACTATGTAGCAGGGAGTACTGGCATGCATAACGGACGGACGGATCGGACGCACGCTGACTTGGCACGCACGCGCGGGCGACGACATGCATGCCTGTTGTTTTTGCACTCGATCGGCACGCACTCGACACTCCACAGGCAATCAATGCAAGTGGCCATATGCATGATGGATGAGCTGCTGGGGTCGCCCAGGTGGCAATGGACGTAGCGCGACGTGGCGTCCCGTCGTTGTCTGCGTCTGCCGGCGGCGCCCAGCTGGAGTAGGCACATGGATGTAACACACGGCACATGGATGTAATTCACTCTACAGCTCGATCGTGTGGCAGCAGAGCAGATCCGACCGGCAGGGAGGGAGAGGGAGGCGCACGACTACTTTATAAGCCGACGCCCTGCTCGCCGGTCGCCGCCGCAGATCCATCACTACTTTAGAAGCTAGCTGTTCATCGATCAAGGGGACCGATCAATCGGAGTTGCACGGCGGAGCTAGCTAGCTACGTGCTTTTATATCAAGATGTTGTTCAGAGCAGTAGTGCAGCACGCCCTCAGGTATATATGAGTTTGATCGACCTCAACTTGCATTGTGTGCGGCGTGTGTGATATGATGTACCTATCTCTACCGCAGGCAGGGAAAGAGCCGAGCTGGGGCTCCGGTGGCCCTGCTGCCCGGCGTCGGCGTCGTCGCCGCCGGCCGCTTCTCCACGGCCGCAGCAGATGACTCGCAAAGGCTGGCCGGGAAGGTGGCCCTGATCACGGGCGCCGCGAGCGGCATCGGTGCGGCGACGGCGCGGGAGTTCGTCCGCCACGGCGCCAAGGTGGTGCTAGCGGACGTCCAGGACGACCAGGGCCGCGCGCTGGCCGCGGAGCTGGGCGCCTCCGCAGCCTCCTACACCCGCTGCGACGTGACGGACGAGGCCCAGGTGTCCGCGGCCGTGGACCTGGCCGTGGCGCGGCACGGCGCGCTGGACGTCGCCTTCTGGAACGCCGGGGTCGTGGGGTCCCTGTCCCGCCCACCGATGGGCGCGCTGGACCTCGCCGACTTCGACTGCGTCATGGCGGTCAACACGCGGGGCGTGGTGGCCGGGGTCAAGCACGCCGCGCGGGTCATGGTGCCGCGCCGCACGGGTAGCATCATCTGCACCGCTAGCATCGCCGGCGTGCTCGGCTCCGTCGCGCCCCACCCTTACAGCGTATCCAAGGCGGCCGTGGTGGGCCTCGTGCGCGCCGTCGCCGGGGAGCTCGCGCGCTCCGGCGTGCGCGTCAACGCCGTCTCGCCTAACTATATAGCTACGCCGCTCGTCATGCGTATCCTCCAGGAGTGGTACCCGGAGCGGAGCGCCGACGAGCATAGGCTCATCGTGGAGAAGAGCATCAACGAGATGGAGGGCGTGGTGCTCCAGCCCGAAGATATCGCCAGGGCGGCGCTGTACCTGGCCTCCGACGAGTCCAAGTACGTCAACGGACACAACCTCGTCGTCGACGGCGGGTTCACGGTGGGGAAGGTGCCCAACATGCCGCCATCTGCGCAGTAAAGCTGTAGCGCATTGATCGGAGGGCTGCAATGGCTTCATTCGCGTCTTCCTTTCGTACGCAAAAAGCTTTTGAATAAGGGTATGTTGTGTTTTGTACCGAACAAAAACCCAGCAGCATTTGCCATTCTCTCGATCGGTTCTTGAGCATTTGAACTCAAACGCCTCAGCACGCCATTTGTTGCTTGTAATATCTTCCAATTAATCCCATTGGGCTACGAATTTACACTTTGCCATGCATGATGTCTTTTACTTTTCGTTAGTCATTACACGTACTTCCCGTCCTACAACGTACCAACTTTCTGATACAGACGCCTTACACTTTGAGATAAGAGTGAAAAAATGAAGTAGGTACTAATTATCCATTTATTATCAGAAAAACTACTAAATGATCTGAAACTCATGTTGAGTTAGCATTTTAGCAATGGCAGTCTCCACACTCCAGGTAGCTTTCTCAGGGGACCGTACTACTAGTTTATCCGTTTTATTTTAAGCAAGGAGGCATATAACTTTCAATAAATACCAACAATTTAACCCATAAGGTATACCAATGATAATAGTCCAACACATGTACCCATGAAAAATTCCAGCCACAAAGTAACACAATCTCATCTAATTAAACGGATAGTCACTCCATACTAAAATAAATCAACTTTTAGAGTTATCTTAAGTCAAAATATTTGAAGGTTAACTAAATTTATAAAAAGCACTAATATTTATGACATGAAATTAATATCACTAGAAATATATTTTTGTAAAAATGAATTGTGTTGTGGGACCTTAAACTCCCCCTCCCCTTCTCACCTAGGCCTATGTACTTTTTTACGCTTCTGGGTCCATTACACCATATATGGGCATGCATGTTTGCGACCGTGTTCCCTGCGTGGGGCGGCGAAAAGAAGCGATCACACCAAACGGGCCGCGAGTGCTGTGATGATTCTTCTCACCGCATGACACCGAGACCGCAAAAATGAACTAGCTCTTGCGTTTTTCTGTGCCGCGGTGCAATGGCCGCAATACGCATATATACCGCATCGCGCGGATGGCAACCGCAGTACTAAACACGCTCTATGTCTGCACATCCTATCTTCTGCCATCCAAATTAGGTCGCGTAAGACTCTATTGTCTACGTAGTAACATCTAATGTGGGAGCATATGGTCGTGCGTGGCGCCACAGTGACGTGCAACGAGCGCAGCAGCGGATGGTGCCACGTGCGCGTCTAGTGAACAAAAAACAATAAAACCTCTTGTTAGAGTATCACTGCCCAGATCTTTACATCACTGTCAGTTTAAAACCCCGTTCACTGCTAGAATTTAAACCGACAATGACATACCGGCGGTGATAAAGGGAGCTCATCACTACCGGTTATAAAAAAAAAACCGACAATGATGTGGATTTTAGGAAATCTAAAAAACAGGCTGAAAAAATAGGGATTTTTGTTTTAATTCTGCGAGAGGCTCCACTGGACAGCGACAAGCGATTTTTCGCACAAAAAACGCATGCTTCGCAGAGATTTTCGTCAGAACCATTTTATGTTCGTCTGTTTTTGAAATGAGTATTTGGGACCATAAACTAATTCAAATGAAAAAGTTGTTAACTACAAAGTTTTATAACTTTTCGAGATCTACAACTTTCATTTTGGTAGTTTCTTCATCCGAGGTAGTTTACAAAATTTGAATTTTAAATGTGAGAAATTCAAACGTAGTTTTCTATGACAAGATGATTTCAAATCAAAAAGTTGTGAACTACAAAGTTTTATAACTTTTTGAGATCTACAACTTTTGTTTTTTTACTGTTTGTTCATTCGAGGTCATTTAAAAAATTCAAATTTTAAAATTTGAAAATTCAAACGTAGTTTTCCTTGACAAGATGATTTCAAATCAAAAGGTTGTCAACTATAAAGTTTCATAACTTTTTGGGATCTATAACTTTTATTTTTGTAGTTTCTCCATCCGAGGCCATTTATAAAATTTGAATTTCAAATTTTAGAAATTCAAACGTAGTTTTCCTTGACAAGATGATTTCAAATCAAAAGGTTGTCAACTATAGAGTTTCATAACTTTCCGAGATCTACAACTTTTACTTTGGTTATTTGATCATTTATTTATTCGATATAGTGGTAGTAACATTGTTCATAAATGTTACATATCTCTCTTATAGTTTCATACTATAAAGAGGAATATGTTTCATACTATCATAGGGATATGTAATATTTGTGAACAATGTTACTACCATTTTTTTTTATGAAGAAATGATCAAAATAAAAGTTGTAGATCTTGATAAGTTCTACAACTTCTATATTCATGACTTTTTCAACTGAAATCATTTAGTATTACAAAATAATGTTTGAAGTTACCATTTTTTGAAATTCAAAATTCAAATAGATAAAATACCATCACATTAAAAGATTGATAAAATAATAGTTGTAACAATACAATAAATTGATAGAGCATGATTTTGGAATCTTTTAGGGAAAAATTATCAAATTTAAAGTCAGTACGAGGGAGAAAGACTAGTTACAAGTTTTAGCCAGAGATTAAAAAGAAAAATCAGAATTCTTCAATAATTTTAAATTTTAATTTCAAACAAAATTTTGAATTAGTAAATGATTTCAAATGAAAAAGTTGTCAACTACAAAGTTGCATAACTTTTTGAGATCTACAACTTTTGTTTTGGGCATTTCTCCATCGGAGGTCGTTTGAAAAATTCAAATTTTAAATTTTAGAAATCAAACGTAATTTTCGTTAGATGATTTCAAATGAAAATATTTGGACATCCAAATGATCTCAAATTAAAAAAGTTTGAACTACAAAGTTGTATATCTCGTCAAGTACTACAACTTTGATATAAAGTTCGTCTTCATCGGATATCATATAAGAAACTTATAAAGTTTTCTTGCAGCATATCACTGTCGATTCAAGCCACGAACCGATAGTAATAGTATCAGTGTCGGATCTTGGCTAAAACCGACAGTGATGACCCAATATCACTGTCGTTTTTTTGCTAAAATTGACAGTGATGTGTCAGATCATATCACTGCTGGTTTTAGCAAGAACCGACAACGATGGGCTATCACAGTCGCTTTCTTAAAATTCGGCAGTGATAAGAGCGACAATGATGTCCAATTTTATAGTAGTCTTGTGTGCACCTAGCAAAATTGGAACAACAGAGCACAAACCTCTCCCCCGATTTGCGTGCAGTCACCTCGGCTCGATTGCGGCAAGCGTGCAGCAACACACAGTGTACGATCGAACCAGGCTGTGTCGTTGGATCGCCATATATACGTTACCTACGTCCTCGAGATTACATGCATTCTATACTAGTACATACATACAGAAACTAAATAAACGAAACCTTATCGCACTGGATTTTAAACTAAGTGCGTGCGTCCATGCGTGTATTATGGTTGTTCGTTGTTTTTTTTTTGTTTTCGTTTTTGAGGAACGGTTGCTCGTTGCTGTAATTTGTATTACGTACGTAGTATAGTACTACAAATACAAGGTTACAATAAGAAAAAAGGTAAAATTGGCTACAAGACACTGAAAGTGGCATCTCTTTGCTAATGGACATGCAAAATGAAGCGATTTGCTGGTGAACACTGTCGTTGTTGTCAAATTTGTGACTGGACACTGCGCCGAATAAAATATTAATTTCTGACTCATGAGGAGAGAACAACGAGGAAATATCGGTTTTGCCCCTTTCTTCTTCCCATGGCTCTATCTTCTTCCTCCATCCCTTCACTGGTCCCCAACGACGAGTAGAGGCCATCAACGGTTGCTGGCTCGGGCCGCCATGGTTGAGCACCCCTCCCTACTTGTCGTGCTAGCGCCGCCCCCTCTCCCCCTCACTGTGCCAGGACCACCATGGCCAAGCTCCCATCGCCCGTGCCATCACGGCCCACCGCCGGTGCACCCTGCGGACCCACGTGCCACCGCTATCGTGCGCGCATAGCCCCGCCCACACGCCCCGGCTCGGGGTCCTCCATGGTAAAAGCTCTAGTTTGGTTTTGGTGAATTGATGAAACCCTAATTGCTAACCTAGTTTATCAAGTGATCATGAGATAGGTAGCACATTTCAAGTGGTGAAGCAAATAAAGATCATAACATGATGATGGTGATGATCAAGTGCTCGGACTTGAAAAGAAGAAAGAGAAAAACAAAAGGCTCAAGGCAAAGGTATAAATGATAGGAGCCATTTTGTTTTGGTGATCGAGACACTTAGCAAGTGTGATCACATTGAGGATCGATAGCCGTACTATTAAGAGGGGTGAAACTCGTATCGGAATGCGGTTATCAAAGTGTCACTAGATGCTCTAACTCATTGCATATGCATTTAGGATCTAGTGGAGTGCAAACACCCTTGAAAACATTTGTGAAAATATGCTAACACATGTACACAAGGTGATACACTTGGCGGTTGGCACATTTGATCAAGGATGGTGAAGTTTGGGAGCAAGGGTAAGAAACTCCACCGGCGCCCTAGACAGAAAAGACGGAAGTCACTGAAAGTGACCGGACGCTGGCCTCGGTTGGACCGGCACGTCCGGTCAGTCTTCGACCGGACGCTGGCGCTAAAAGTGACCGGACGCTGGCAGGGTGCGTCCGGTTAGTGCTGACGTACGCTGACGTGGGGCGCATAGAGGAGACGTTGAGTGACCGGACGCTGGGTGAGTCCGGTCGGGCATGACCGGACTCGTCCGGTCGTGAAAATTCGCGTTTGGAACCTTACTGGAAACGACCGGACGCTGAGGTCCAGCGTCCGGTCACTTTCTAACTGACGCGTCCGGTCATCTCTTGACCGTTGGGATCGGACGATCAACGTTTGAAGCCAATGATACGTGGCATGCATCGGGCGACCGGACGCTGAGGTCCTATTGTCCGGTCAATATGACCGGAACGTCCGGTCACCCCGAGTTGTGTCCAGTGAAGGAGTACAACGGCTCTATTTCGTGGGGGCTTCTATTTAAACCCTATGGCTGGCTCAAGCTCACTCTCTTGGCCATTTGTATTGATCCGTTTCTTTTTTTTCATCCGGAACAGTGTTTTCTCTCCCAAATTCAGCCGTAACCCGGTCGCTACAGTGTTTTTTTGTTCAGCCGAACACAGCCTAAGCAAAACCAGCCATAATCTATTTGTTTACTCTAGTGTTTGCCTTTCTTTCAATGATCTTTAATTTATGATCAATTACTATAGTACATATTTTATATTGGTTAAATATAATAGTTATGAATGCACGGAGTGCGATTTGCGTTGTACTTTTTTTTTATGTTTGAGCACTGTACCTGCACGGTTCATGTGACATTTAAACAAACTTGATTTGAGACAATTTTTTGTGCGTGTTGGCGCGGCGCTGCATGCATGATTAGGTTAGCCCACCAACTATTATGCCCCCAACAAAAATAAGGCCTTGTTTAGATTGCAAGTTTTTTCACTCTCTTTTCATCACGTTAAATCTTTAGATACATGTATAGAGTATTAAATGTAGATAAAAAAAATAACTAATTATATAGTTTGATTGTAAATTACGACACGAATCTTTTGAGCCTAGTTAGGCCATGATTGAACAATAATTGTCAAATACAAACGAAAGTATTACAGTGCCAAATACTGATTCCTAACCCCAATCTAAACAAAGCCTAAACATGAAACTGCAAGCTCTAATAATTGTGTAGGTCCAGTATGAGATAGCATCCTGCACCTATCAGTGAATCGGGCGGCTCCTTTGCCGATGCATTCCAAATCCAGATACAGCTAGCAAAATGCAGTTTGTTGGGCTGGCGGGTTCGTTTTGTTGCTGATTCGTGAAGAAGTACTGCTGGCTGATTTAAGTGAGAGAAAAATACTATTCCGGCTGTAAATTTACGATCGTTTACGACGAGCCACATGCTGATGATCGTCCGACACCGCCTGCAGTTGCACCGATCAATCGATCCATCAATGTGTGTACGAGAGTACGTATGGATTGGTAAAAGTAGGAGTATTTCTTTCTTTAATTTCTTTTGTTCTTGGTCAGCGTTGAGTTCATGGCCATGGACCATGGTCGGAGTGGGGATGTGCACGGCTGCCGAGGCAGGCAGGATGGCCCGCCTGACATCTCTGCGTGGCGGTCCGGCCAATAACGTGGCTTCAAATGGCCCCTGTTCTTCTTGGTCGTCTCGTCCAGCAGCACTGTGCTGTCACGCGACAGCTAGCTGATGTCGTCATGACCTTACAAGTTAGTACGATGCTCATCGCCATTGGTGCTGCTCGTGGAGTTCTTCTGTAGCACTAGCAGACATGGTTATCTACTGCAAACCACTTACTCTGCACATCGACGCAGACATGGGTTACCTAGCAATCTAGCATCGCATTACTACCACCGTACTAGTCACAGAACAAATTACCAATGCAAGTTTATAGGTAAGTACAATACTCCTGCAAAAGAGAGAACGTCATACTTGCTTACCAATTATCTTGGAGGTGTGTGCATCCTATGTTACTTATGTAACAAACATTACCAAATCAATAGACCATGCTGAGATGTGCACAGAAGGTGCAAAATATGGGAGGAAGAATGTCAATACATACCAGGGATCACGACCCATTGAGCAGTCCAGTGACACAGAAAATTCCACCTTCAGCATCTGTATGCAATCAGGGAAGATTACATATAATCATATCCCAATGAAGCCTCTTCCTTCTAAAATTACATTTGGAAATATGTATAATGATTAAGAGGAAAATAAGTTTGGGTTCATCATTCAAAATATAGGAAATCTCAGAGCACCCAAAACTTCCATGCTCTTGATATGCACACATCCTGCTTCTCCTATGAACCTCTACTTAAAAGTTTGGCTTTGCATTTCTTCTGTAACCAGTAGAGAACAGATAATCTAACATGTACTGTCTTCGACTGCTTGACTAGTATATCAGACTTTGGCCAGACAGGAGCGAGCAAGCAGCATACAACAACAACAACAACAACAAAGCCTTTAAGTCCCAAACTCCGCCTATGGGGCGTCTTTGGTGTCCCAGCATAGCAGGTCCCAAACCCTGGTAAAGGAGGAGGGTTGTGTTAGGCGTGGCGAGCCAATGTAAAAACTTAGCCACTTTAATGGAGATGAAACCCGAAAGCAAGCAGCATACTTTGATAATAATAGCAATGTCACACAGATTACGTAGCTGCAGTGCATTACAGCAAAATAACAAACAACGAGCATATACAGTACAGTTACAGCTCAAATGAAAGGATAGTCCTCAACACATCTCAGCTTAATTCTGCACGAATGACGCTACTCATTTGAAGCTTAAAACTAACAAGATCAGGTGTATGTGACACAATAAACGGAACCAAGCTCCTCACAAAGCTCATAGAGGAAGACGCCAAAGAAGAAATATGACTTTTCATTCCATTCAGCCACTTTGAAAAGACGTTTTTACTGTGATTGAAAACAAAAATTAAAACCAAAAAAATAAATTCCTGTGTTATTGCATATTGCTCTAGAAACCTCATGAGCTCATTGGTCAGCACCCAAAAGCTGGAAGATTCTCCAGTTTGAAGAAACGTGATAAGAGAGTAGGGCTAGACTTCATTTGCCCTGCGTTCTCCTGATCCAATTCAAAACGTGAGAGCAGTCATCATCCCCAAGGAACACCCTGTTCTCTGAGCGATAGGTTTTGAGATCACGACTTTCGAGCATGCAACTTTCCCTTCGCATTTCAAGTGATTCAGGAACCATCCTTGGACTGTGGCCATGGTAAGCATCACAGATAAATTGAACAATCGCCTCAAATGGTTGTGAGGCGTCGACCCACTGGTAGATCTTCTCATTGCGGAACCAGGTAATTTGCCTCCTTGCGAAGTTCCTAGATGTACTCTTAAACTTGGCCAGAAATTCGAGGAACTCCTGCGTGGTGCTTTCACCTCCATTCTGCCTACAGTGCAGCAGGTACTCCATGGCTTGCTTGTAACCAATGGCACGAGTTGCAGAGTTGACATGTGGATGCAAACCGATATCGAGCAGCCACGAGGCTTCTGAAAGTAAGCCGCCTGTGTCAGCCAGCATTTCTTCACACCTCAAATCAATTGATCGGTACAGCTCCAAGCGTGGGCATGCAAGGAAAATACAGAAGAAGTCATAATCCATATTCCTGGCTTCACAGCTCCTTCCAGCAGAGACCTCGGTGCCATGCTGTTCACAAAACATATTGTATGGTAAGGTGAAGGCAGAGGGAGGGGAACCTGATGATCTAATAACCTCAAGGCTTCGACTCAACCTCTTCCAGTTATTCACAGACAAGTCCCGAGCTTTGGGGTCACCAGCCCGGACCACTAGCTCTACTGCTTCCTCCCACTGGCCACTCTCCCGAAAACTGACGAGCTCAGACCACACAGCTGAAGTGATGTCCATGGATGATTGTGGAACATTTGGCTTGCCATAGATGTACCACCGTAAGTAGAGCCCAGTCCCTCCTGCAACAACAGGCACTCGCCCTCTGTCATGAACATCCCATGTCGCTCTCCGGGCATCGCGAAAGAAGGCTCCAGCCGAGTAATCATCGGACGCATGCAGTATGTCGATCAAGTGATGTGGCACCATATCCATCTCTGCCGCGGATGCTTTGGCGGAACCAACGTCAAGGCCACGGTAGACTTGCACGGAGTCCGCGCTGATGATCTCTCCTCCGAGCCTCCTGGCCACCTCCAACGCGAGCCTGCTCTTCCCAGCACCGGTAGGGCCCGAGATGACAATGACCGTATCCTTCTTCGTTCGATGATTTGGCGCCAGAGAGGTGGTCGCCGCCGTAGCGATCTTCTTTGCGTAGCAGAAAGATGAGGGCGACTTGTGCGGTGAACACAGGACGGACCAGCTTGTCCAGACGGCACGCCGCGTGGCTCTAAGCTGTGGCCTCATTTCACAGCACATGACAGGGAACGAGAGTGCCTGCCAAAGATGTAGAGGGAATTTCAGACTACAGTACAACATGGTTAGAGGTGAAAATCGCAGCTGTGTACTGGTACCCAGGGCGCTGTTACCCGCTCTGGACAGGACAATTGCTCAAACAGTGGGTAGCAGAGGGCTAGGCATTCCATCAAACACATACAGGACGCAACCGGAGGGACAGATCGAATTGTACCTGTGCGGATTGTGGAGTGGCAAGGCTGTTTGGGCATGCTGAGCGCTGAGGGCATATATGGGGACTGTGGAGCGGAGGCGTGCAGCGTGCTTGTGGAGGCGACGGCGAGCTCCCACACACACGGTGCGAGTCGGCAAGGTTGCTCTCAGTAACACGGGCAGCTGGACGACCAGAATCGAACAGGTAATAATTACCAACTCAGCTGGGTTTTAGCAGCAAGCTGCAACTCTCACCTCCACCTCTCCTCCGTCGGCCGTGACCCGTCAGGCCAGGCGACGCTCCCTCACCGCCGTCCGCCGGTCACTGCGCCTGGTGCTGCTGCTGGGCGGAGGGAAGAAGGTCTCGCAGGTCGCATCGCATTCGGAGGACATCCCACGGGAACATTATCATCCCACATCCACCAAAGTCCAAAGTGGCCTGAAAAAGAAAACAGCCCATCAGGCCCACTCCGGTGCCCGATGATGCAGCCATTCCAGCCACCGTAGTTCCGATCAACTCGAACAGCAAGTAAATTATCTGGACTACAGCCATTGCATGATCAACTTTATCCAAAAAAAGATTACAAATTTTACGAGTGCAAGATCAGCAGGACTCTACCCAGGCTTTCACCCTTTCTCTTAGTCTTACATCTTTACAGACATGACAAATAGAGACAGACCCTCAAACTCCTTGGACACGTTTAATCCTTTGATTTGATGAAAGACAAAATATTCAGAAGCAGTAATAGCATGGGATAACGACAGATTAAGAATCCAATCTCGTTACACGAAATGTTTGAATTCTTCGTTATCTCGACGCCATCCATCCATCCAGATTATAAATTGAAGGCCAAACCCACAATTCCAACACACAAACCAGGCAAAGCGCCATAGCATAGCATCGTCCTAGTTCCCAAGCCTCCCTGCAATTCGACATGGCCTCGCCCAAGCTGATCGCCCTGTTCTTCGCCTTCGCCATGGCGGCGGCTGCGCTGCAGCCCTCGGAAGCGGCGAGGGTCCAAGTCCAGCTCCAGCAAGCGTTCAAGCCCGCGGCCGCCGCAGGCCAAGAAGCAGCAGAAAAGGCGGCCCTGGCCGACCAAGCAGCCGGCGGCGTGCCAGTGCCACGCACATCGACGACGACGACACCTCCGGCAGGCGGCATCCCCGCCGCCCTGCCTCCACAGCTACTGCCCGCCATCCTGGGCCTGCTTTTCCCGCCGCTGGGCGCACTACGCCTGATTCCCTCCGTAGGAACGGTGGTATTTTTTTTTTACTGTAGAGGCAGTTGGGGGCTCGGGCGCTCCTGTTCTCGGGCCGCTCAGTCGCTCCTATAGATGGCGATGGCACTGTATGGCGGCTGGTAAGCTGAGTCGCTCCGCCCCTATAGTTGAGGCTGATTTGTAGAGGCGGCTCAATCACCAGCCGTCTTTGTAGTGTCCATTTGTAGGGGTAGCTGTCCGTTCTAACTGATGGCGCATGAATAAATAGCAGCAACTTCCTTCTTACACCTCGAGACACACTGTTCTAAAAAAAGGTTGGGAGACCTCTGGCTCCTCTTAAAAATTACTCTACTAAGGAAGGAGGTTTTGATCTTAAATCCTTTGGTGGAGGCTCTAAAAGGTAAGAAAATGCTTCTTCAATTTTTTATTTGAACTTTAATTCGTTGGTTAGTGAGTAATATGATTTTTTGTTTTCTCTCTCTTCCATGGAGCTTGAGCTAATTATAAGTAAAAATAGGATCATAATTTTCACTATACTAGGGTATATTAGGTAGGAAAATAAGATTACACCCTTTGTTAGTACATCTTTATTGATTTTAGTGTGGTATTAGTAAAGTTTGATGCATATGTCATGAAACCCTATATCTAGATCTAAAACTAGGATTTTGTTTTTTTTCTTTTTCAATTTTTTCTTTATGTGACTAGGGTTTGCATGTAGGTGAATGTGTAAGATTTTAATTATTGCTAATGTGTAAAATATCCTCTACCATGGCTACTAATTATCATTTAATATTTATTTTGATTCTTTTCTATAATGTATGTTTTTAATTATTTATGGATAAATAGTCCATTAATTAATTATCCTCTACCATGAAATTGAAATGGAGTTTGCATGAAAGGTAGTGGATGAAATATTAAATGTTGCTAATTGTTTTCTTTGAAATTGTTTATTTGAACCAATTAATTTATATTTTAAAATATTTATGCATTAATAGTCAATTAATTAACTATCCTCTACTACCATAGTGCATTTCTCAGGTATATACAATTATTCTCGGGTAATATTCTTTCTTTGGTTGTTTTGTTTCTATAAGATGGACTACAGGAACTCTTGGATGTATGGTTCGTTAAGACACGACGCTCTTTTTCGTGATGAGGTGGACAAATTCATCAAAGCCGTAGAGAAGCATGCAGCGACGTTGAAAGAGAATAGTGACACGATTATTTGTCCCTGCAAAGATTACAAGAACCTTATTGCATTTCGAGATGTGAGTACCATCAAAGAACATCTGATTAGGAGAGAATTTGTTCCGAACTACACAGTGTGGAATCATCATGGTGAAACAGTGGTTGTTGATGACAGCGACGATGATCTAGCTGATAAAGCTGAAACCCAAGCATACTTGTCCCGATTCACAAACGATCTTGAACAACAAATGGATCGTGACTATGGCAATCAACAAGGTGGTGGCTTTGACAATCAACAAGGTGGTGATGATGCTGGTGGTGCCAGCAATGATGGCGAAATACGTAAGGGGATGCAGATGACGGTGACAACTTAGACGAAATGCTTGGAGCCTTTGGATCAGAAATATTAGAAAAGAGCAAGAGAGGTCTAGAAAATCTGGAGAGGGTGACAAAAGCATCGAAAAAGACTATGTATGATGTTGAGAATGGTTGTTCGACATACTTCACACTGCTAGGTTTTGTGCTTGAGCTACTCATCCTGAAGGCTAAGTACGGCTGGTCGGACTGCAGTTTCGATGATCTGTTGTGCCTCATGTCACGGTTGCTCTCACGGCCGAACACAGTTCCCGCCAACACATACCAAGCGAAGAAGGTTATAAGTCCACTCACATTGAGGGTTGAAAAAAATCCATGCATGCCCCCAACCACTATATCCTTTTTTGGCGTGGCACATCATTCGAGACTTTAGATACATGTCCTAGGTGTGGGGCTAGTCGATACAAGAACAATGACCTTCGAAGTGGGGTGGAAGCCTCCACAGGAAAGAGGAAGAAAGGTGGGAAGAAGGTGGTGCAAGAATCTTAGCCCCTAGAGGAAACTCCATTAGGCAATGATGCAAATAAGAGAAAAATTCCTTCCCTGGTTATGTGGTACTTGCCAGCGACCGACCGCTTGAGGCGTATGTACCTAAACCCTAAGGAAGTTGTACTGCTGACATGGTAGGATGATGAGTGCAAGGTCGATGATGATACGATCGCACACCCAGCCGATTGTAGCCAGTGGCAAGCGTTCGATGCCAAGTACAAAGCAGAATTCAGTGATGACCCACGGAATGTACGGTTCAACTTGAGCACCGATGGAATGAATCCCTTTGATGAGAGGGTGACCGACCACAGCACATGGCCAGTCATCTTGACCATGTACAACCTCCCAACGTATTTGTGTTAGAGGAGAAAGTAACTTCTCCTCACTATTTTTATCTTCGGCCCCAAACAACCAGGCATTGATATAGACGTGTTCTTGGAGCCTCTGATGCAAGAAATGGAGAGACTATGGAGGTATGGGGAGCCGATGTACGATGCGTTCCGACGGGAGGACTTCATATGCAAAGCAATAATATTTGTTACTACCAATGATTACCCCGCGCTGTTTGCCCTGTCTGGACAGTTCAAAGGCAAGACTGGATGCTTAGTCTGTTTGGATGGTACTAAATGGGTGTTCCTAGATGGATCCAGGAAGATAGTTTACATAAGGAACCGGCGCTTCTTAAAGACAGGTCACAAGTACCGCGGTAAATTATACCTAAGATACTATGGCAACATCCTAGAGGATGAACCCCCTCCAGAGAGACGTCGTAATGGAGAACATGTGTTCAGAATGGTCCAAAACATACACGTCGTCTATAGAAAGAAGAATCTAAATGGAACGATCAGAGATAGAAGCACACCTCCCATCGAAGGCGTACCATTCAAGAAACAATCAATATTCTTTCAGTACCTGCCTTATTGGCTAGACTTGGAGGTCCCCCATGCCATTGATGCGATGCACGTACAGAAGAATGTCTTTGAGAGTCTCATGGCTACCTTGATGGACACGGGCAAGTCAAAGGATGGTCTCAGATCACGGAAAGACATGGTGCAGCTGAACGTGATGCGGGAGCTTTGGCCGGTATAGCAAGATAATGGCAAGTACAGTCTTCCCGCGGCTAGCTTCAACCTAACCCTAGAGGAGAGGAGAGCTATATGCAATTTCCTTAGGGGGGTCAGAGTGCCGACTGGGTTTTCGGCGAACCCGAAGAAGCTAGTGTCGATGAAGGACCTATCATTAACATACTGCAAGGCTCACGATTGTCATGTGATGCTGACAGTGTTCCTACCAATTACAATCAGGGCTATAAAGCCAGAGTTCCTAAAGATGGCCATCACCCGCATGTGCTACTTCTTTTCGAAGATCTCACAGAAGACGATTCACAGGCAAGAGTTGAGTGACCTACATGAATTCATGGTGGAGACCCAGAACCAGCTAGAGATGTGTTTACCTCCCGCTTTTTTAATATAATGGTACATCTCATGATTCACCTGGTTCATCGGATCGAGGCGCTGGGCCCTAGCTTCTTGCATGAAATGTGGTCCTACGAGCGGTTCATGTCGGTTCTAAACCGATACGTGCATAACCGAACACACCCATAGGGCTCCATGATAGAGAGTTACAATTCCGAAGAAGTCGTCGAGTGCTGCCAAGAGTGGCTAAAAGTACATAGAGGGATTGGTAATCCCGATTCTCGTCACAAGGGAAGGCTAGCTGGGAAGGGCACAAGTGGTAGGAAAGTGTTCCTCGACAATGATTACAGAGAGGTGAGTCGGGAGCATTACAGTGTCTTGTAGAGTATGGCAGTGATGCAACCGTACATTGATGAACACATGGCTATCATTATGGCCGAGAGAAATGGCCGTTCAGATGATTGGGTCAGGAAAGAGCATAAGCAACGCCTGACATCATGGTTGAAGGACCAGAACATACAGCCTGGAGAAACCATAGATTCTACTACCATCAGTCGGTTAGCGGCTGGACCATCGAAACAGGTGACGACTTGGAATGCTTATGACATCAATGGGTACACATACTATACCGACACAAAGGACAGAAAATCTGTGAATCAGAACAACGGTGTCCGAATAGAGGCTCTCGACGGAGTGGGGCGAAAGGTCCTGTACTTTGGCATAATTGAAGATATATGAAACTTGACTATGGAAGGGATATAAAGGTGGCCCTGTTTCGATGCTGCTGGATCAAGCAACATCAATTCAATGAGATCGGACAGAGAGTTGTCGACCTCCAGAATGTAGGCTACCAGGATGACCCTTGGGTGCTCGCTGAACGTGTCGTGCAAGTCTTCTATATGCCCAACCCACAAAGTAACCTCACCCCAAAGAAGAAGACAAAGCACGTGGTGGTCTCCAGGAAACAACATATCATCGGAGTTGATGGCATGGACGATGTTGAAGCTTACAATAAGTGTGATGAGAGGCCGATATTCACAGATTTTTGTAAGAAGATCGAGGCTGTGGAAAAAAACATGCCCAAAGATGTATTGCCATGGAAACGAAAAGGTGTCAAGAGAAAAGTTGTCACGGTGGGCTAGCTAGTTTATGTAAGTGTGTCAGTGTTCGTAAGACTACATTTATGTATGTGTGTGTGAGACTACATTCATAAATGTGTGTGTGAAACTACATTTATGTATGTGAGACTACATTTATGTATGTGTGTTTGAAACTACATTTTTCAGTTGAAATAATTTGGGGGTCTAAATTATGGTTTTAACTTGTCTTTTTTTCAAATTTCAAAATTTGAAAGGTTCAAATTTAGTCAAATGACAAGATAAACAAAATAAAACTTATAGATCTTGATGAGTTGAACAACTTTTGTATTCATCACTTTTACATCTGAAATCATTTAGGGTTTGAAAATTTGGTTTGAACTTGTCAAATTTCAAATTACAAATTTTAAAATATGTAAAATATTGTCACATCCAAGTTTGATCAAACTTAAATGCTGAAGCATGATTTTTGAAATTTTTAGAAAAAAAACCATCATATTTGGAGTTAGTATGAGGGAGAACAACTAGTTACAAAATTTATCCACAGATTATAAAGAAAAATCACACTGTTCTAGATGATCCTTACATGATAATAGTTAACAGTGTGATTTCTTTTTTTAATCTGTGGGTCAACTTTGTAACTAGTTTTTCTTCTTCATACTAACTCCAAATCTGATGATTTTTTCCTAAAATTTTCTAAAATCATTATCTATCAATTTATTTTGTTGGTTTTGTCAATATATACATATGAAAAGTTTGAGCAATTTAAATTTTGAATTTTAAAAAAATGCAACTTCAGACAAGATTTTGGTACCCCAAATGATTTCATCTGAAAAAGTGATAAATACCAAAGTTGAATAACTCATCAAGATCTACAATTTTTGTATTGGTCATTTCTTCATATAACAAAGTGGTAATGGCATTGTTCACAAATGTGACACATCTCTCGTAAGGTTTTATAAACTATATGAGACATGTGTAAGATTAGTGGACAATGTGTGCTAAGAATTTTTTAAATGAAAAATGACCAAAATAAAAGTTGTATATATTCATGAGTTGAACAACTTTGGTATTCATCACTTTTTATGTTGAAATCAATTTGGGTTTCAAATTTTGGTTCGAACTTATCGTTTTTTAAAATTTTAAATTTGAAAGGTTCAAATTTTGTCAAATGACAAGATGACTAAAATAAAAGTTGTAGATATTAATGAGTTGAACAACTTTGGTATTCATCACATTTTATGTTGAAATCATGTCGGGTCTCAAATCTTGGTTCGAACTTGTCATTTTTTTAAATTTCAAATTTAAAAGTTTTAAATTTTGTCAAATGACAAGATGACCAAAATAAAAGTTGTAGATATTAATGAGTTGAACAACTTTGGTATTCATCACTTTTTATGTTGAAATCATTTTGGGTCTCAAATTTTGGTTCGAACTTGTCGTTTTTCAAAATTTCAAATTTGAAAGGTTCGAATTTTGTCAAATGACAAGATGACTAAAATAAAAGTTGTAGATATTAATGTGTTGAACAACTTTGGTATTCATCACTTTTTATGTTGAAATCATTTTGGGTCTCAAATTTTGGTTCGAACTTGTCATTTTTTCAAATTTCAAATTTGAAAGGTTCAAATTTTGTCAAATGACAAGATGACCAAAATAAAAGTTGTAATTCTTCATGACCTCTACAACTTTGATGTTCAACTTTGATTTTCATTGGAGATCATTTGGTGTCTCAAAATTACTTTAGTAGTTTTGATTTTAATTTTTTTAAATTTAATTTTCCACATTTTTAAAGGTTCAATTTTGCAATTTTAAACTATTGTAGTTGTCTTAGTTATTGTATATGTAAATATATATATAAAAAAATAATTATAAAATTTTATACTGTATTATTTATTATTTACATTTGAATAATTCATTTTGATTTATAATTTTGAAAAAAAAATTCAACTGTAGGGGCGGCTTATAACCTCAGCCGCCCCTACAGTTTCTCTGTAGGGGCGGCTTATAACCTCAGCCGCCCCTACAGTGCTCTGAGGTATATCAGTGACCGTCGTTGTGGCCGCCCGTTAAGTGTTGGGCGAAATCTTCTGTGGACGCCATCAGGCTGCCCAATTTCCTCGGCAGCTAGGGTTCCCGTGGCACGAAGGAACCGAGGAAGGAAGGGGAGGACCACAGGCACAAGAGGCGAGGACCGAGGAGGCTAGGGTGCCCGCCGCACCGAGGAGGCGAGGACCGTAGGCACAGGCAGGCTCCCGACGCGTCTCCGGCGGCCGGCCCCCTCCCTCTCCCTCTCCGCTCGCCTTGATCCGGAGCGTCGTCAACACCGTCTCCGGCAATCCGGCGGGACCGAGGGCGCCGACGATCTCCCCGCCCTCATCGTGCCGCTGCCGCCCAGAGGATCTTCATCGGTCCCTTCGTCGTCCCTTCGTCAGATCTTCATCGTGCCGCTGCCGCCCAGAGGAGGACCTTCTGGCCCACCGCCGACGCCTTCTCCACGTGAGTATCCTCGCCCCCATCCCCATTTTCCTACCTCTTCGTTTTCCCTGGAAGTGGATCTCACTCATTGATTTAGGGTTGATTCCATTCAGTTGCAGTGCATTGCTATGTTTCCTAGAATGATCAAATTTGCGGTACTGAAAAGATCTAATTCTCCAAAAAAAAAAGACAACCAAGGCAAATAATTTCCATTGAAACTTCATACAAATTATGTTCAAGGAAAAAAAGCTTAACAAATTAGGTTAAGGGCCGTAAGACTAGAGAGGCGGAGAGAGATTGAGGTTTGGATGTTGCCTCCAGCTTGTCCAACGACCAATTTGCGACTGTTGACTGATGGCAGTGTGGTCATCTGGATTGGCACAAAATATTGGTGCACCCACGCAAGACAAAAAAAACATCGGCACACAGCTAAACTTAGATTACCAAATCCTCCGCCAATGCTCGGCCCAACACAATGGCTGGATAAGTGAATGATAGCTTCCAAACACGCCTGGAGTATCATATTATGAGTTTATGACAAGGCTATTGACATAGGCTACCTCATACTCTAGAGGATGGCCAACATACCAATGCAGGAGTGCGGGACTAGTAAAGAATATCTAGAGCTTGATGAGCTGCTAAAAAACTCAAGAATCATTTTGGTCAAACATAGATGATCTTTTGCAAAAAGAAGTTGGGTATTCCTCGGAATACCCAGGAACCAAGCTGCCTCTGCCCATGGGTTTTTTGCTGCCTCTGCCCATGCAAAGTATGCAAATCATGACAATTTCCACACCCTTTTTTTTACTGTAAGAAAAACTACCTTGATGCCTTTTTTTCTTCCTCTTTTTGCTGCTTTATTAGTTGTTACCGATGATCCTCATAGTGCTGTAACAGAACTGGCTGTTCAGTACCCATACCAGGTTTCAAATTTTAATCTTAAGTTACATTCTAAACCTTTTCCAGTTCTCATACCATTGCCCTCTTAAGGCATCAATCTCAGTAATAGTAGGTACCACAGTTCTGTACTTTGCATACATCCTTGCATTGCACCTCAAGCATGGTGCATGCGCATCATCTGCAGCTGCCATCTGGGATTCTGGGGCTGCCTCTAGTTCCAGGCATAATTTTTTTACAGGGGGTACATGAAACACAAGAACCATTTGCAGATGAAAAGAGAAATAAAGCACTGTTGCTAGCTAGTACACGCATGAAAAATGTTAGCTGACATGTGTTTCCGGCCGTTTCCTTGTAGCTGACGACGACGACCATTTTCTATCTGTTTCGGTCGGCACGTGCCAGTGGAGTGGAGTGCTGTTCTAGCGTATCAACCACATGTAGTATTTTGGTACTACTATAAGTATTAGCTTGCAGTCGCAGTTGGTAAAAATGTGGAAGTAGTGAAAGTCCATCAGCACAAGCCACTGGTGCACGTACGTTAATGTCGGCCGTTTGCCAGCAGATGTACATGCCCGCACTCTTCCGTGCTCGGCAGCGCCCACCACAGCTCACCTGCCATGAATTCTTGTAGCCAGTTGACTCTAAAATATAAAACCCGTCTTGACCTACCCAAAAACCTTATCATCTGTAGCCATTTCCTAGTACCATGCCAGTACAACTAAACTTGTAGCGAAATCTCAAACAATGTACTCAATTATTTCTCAAAAGATCTTAACACCACATAGCTAAACCATTAAAACAGCTCAATTATCAGGAACTTACCCACCTCCAAACGCTGCAGTATTTTCAGTATCAGTTAAGTTGATATAATCATACAGACGACTTCCCATAATTATCTGAAAAGATAATAAAAAGGACCTCCAGACAGAAACTGTAGTACTGCGAAATTTGAGATGTGCCATCAACAAGCAGAAATACTTGGATAACCAATCCACCTGAAGAACAGATGCAGAAACATATCACACCTTGTCAAACTATTCCAGTTCCCAAGGGGTCCTCATCTATAGGATCAGGTTTAACACAAAATCGCTGGTTGTACAGAAGCATGTCACCCCAAGACATACACATCTAGCAAAGAGGTGCAACCACCTTACTGTGGTCTAAGCATAATAACTTGTAGCATGCAGGTCTCTCTAATTAACTTCTATTACTGTCCGGCAGGACCAACAAGGACTCCCTGTGCAGTGCCTTCCTTCTTGCCACCTTCATCCTCGGCGTCATTGTCAGCCTTCCGGATCCTGATCTTGTACTTGAGCTCAAACTCGGTGATCTCTTTCTTCTTCCTCTCTAGTGCCTTGTGCATGCGAGCAATCACCTCTTCGAGGCCCTCCTTATTGCGCTTCACAGCAGGCAGGAATGACTTCGATCCGTGGTTCTGTACTCCGTCACAGATTAATCTGCCATCCATGCCCTAGTTAGATTCTTTAATCCCTCCTACTATTCTAATTCTCCTGTACATATGGTCCAGCACTTTGTTTACCTGCACGAATGCATTCATGTGCACCTATATGCTGACTACTAGTACTACTACAAGAACTACTACTACTACAAGTACTACTACAAGTACTACTACTACTGCTGCTACTAGTACTAGTACTACTACTTGTACTACTAGTACTACTACTTATACTACTTTTTTTCTTGCATCTCTTAGAACAAGGCACGAAATGTTGCGAACATCAAAGAGTGCATCCCGATGCCCCGTGAATGATGAGCAGCCATCCCATGGAGAGCCAGAACTAGATGACCAGCTTACTCAGGAGCAGTTCGATAACGAGTTAAAAAATGGTCTAGAAGTGATGCTTACTCAGAAGGACCTTGTCGATGATGAGGATCCAGTGGGGGAACCCAGGGAAGAGAAGGCGGAGAGGATGCCCAAGGCGAAGAAGGGGATGATGATGATGACACCTCATCAGGGGGATATGTAAGTCCCGAGGATCCTTTCCCACAAGATCCCAGACGGAGGCCAACGGAGGACGAGTTGGACAAGGATTTTGATCCGAACGACGAGGTACGGATAAAGCCTTAGTAGCTTGTAAATTTGGCTAATGCTATGGCTTTATGTTACCTCTGCTAACACTTTTGACCTGCCGGATACACAGGTCGTCCCTACTCAACCTCTGAAAAGACGACGTTGGCCTCCGGCTCGTCTTGCCGGACAATACGTAGCGGGGCAAAGGAGATCAGAGGAAGGAGCCACAGATACTCACAATGAGGCCTCCGCTCCACAACCTCATGACACAACCACGACTGAGACTGCCCAGCCAAAGAGGAAACGAGGGGGATTAGAAAGCCAAACCAATATCACGACAAGGCATGCTATGTGATAACGGAGGTCAGGCCAGACGGGCAGATCCTTGAGCCATATACATACAGGGCGAAATTCCGTAATCACATCGGGTTTGTAGTTAGAGATAAGTTGAACCCAGCCACCCATGGCTGGAATCTTGTACCTATAAGCCAAAAGGTAGACCTATGGGAGAAGCTGAAGCAGAACTTCAGGTTTCCGGAGGGAACGCACGAGTTGGTACAACAAAATGCTTTTAAGATAATGGGGCAGAGCTTCCGACGTTGGCGGTCGAATCTAAACAAGAACTTTATCCAACAGAAGTTAACTCATTTCCACGAGTATGGCAACATAACTCCTAGTCAATAGGAGGAGCTCGTGGCTGAGAAGACTTCAGAGGCATCATTGGCCCTCAGTGCCCGTAACAACGAGCAGGCGAAGAAGAACCAACACTACCCTCGTCTAGGCCCCGGTGGCTACGCTGGCAAGCAAGAGGTCTTTAGGAAGATGAACGCAGAGGCCGAAGCTGCCGGGAATACGGAAGTGCCGAAGTTAAAGCCATGCCTCAAACAGTGGATATACGCAAGGAGTGTCGATTCATCCGGTAGTAGCCTCAAGTTTGCTAAGCCAGAGACCGAAGAGGTAGTATCAAAGATACTGAAACTTACTGAAGACAAGGAGAAGGGCGCATTCAACCCTTCCAGAGAGAGGGACGAGCTTACCGTTGCCTTGGGAAACCTCGAGCACACAGGACGCACCAGGGGGCTAGGGAAGAGGATGTCCTGGAAGCACGGATTCGTAGAGGAGAGGCACATGTACAAGAAACATGGCAGAGACCGAGAGTCTAATCTTGAGCGCCAAGTGAAGGCTCTAGTTGAAAAGATGTTGGTGGAGAAAGGACTGTCTACGATGGAGCCACAGACAGCAATGGGGCCGCCCGGACAACTGGCGGTAGTTGGCAGCCCTCCGGATGTTCCCAGCAGTCAAGGTTCCAATGCAACTGGAACCCCCGTCGATCGCATACGGGAGCCAACCAGTTGCAAATTGATGGTTCCGATGGGCAGGCAAAACGTGAACATTGAGGTGGCAACGGACGTGGCACATCCTCCAGGTGGCACGTGGCACAATAGGGACATCCCGAAGGACTACACTCGGGTCGAGGTGCATACCGTGAAGCCCAAGTTCATGACTTGGAAGATAGAACACCCTACTCCCAAGGGGCTCGTGTTACTCGGAGACGTCATGAACCAGTTCATCCTCTGGCACAGACGGGACATTGTATTGATCGAGTCTTCGCCAACTCCGACTAAAGTTCATCCTCTGGAGCGACCCGTCGAGGACGGGGAGGTATACTCACCGGCCCATGACCATGACCACCACACGCTAGAGACTTCTCCACCTCGTACCGAGCAAGGGCATGATGACATGCCACATCCTTCTCCACCTCGTATCGAGCATGGGCATGATGACATACCACGTCCTTCTCCAGCTCGTACCGAGCAAAGGCATGATGAGATGCAACATCCTTCTCAACAAGCGCAGCCGATAAATGAACAAGTGTCTCATGAACAGCAATTGCCTCGTGAATAGCCGATACGTGAAGAACAAGTGGCCCCTAGAGCAGGTGATGCACAAGTTGACAAGGACGTGCCCGAATGGGAAGCTCGAAACAAAATCCCAATCAAGATAAGGCCATCGTATGTGGGCATTAATGACATCTCGTCGGTGCACAAGTGGATGGCCCATGACCAGTTCAAGCCTAAGAATCAAGTAAAAGAATTCAGAGCATCAGCTTCTGAGGAGGGCACCACTAGCAAACTGCACAAAAGGTTTAACAAGTATCCAGCTGTTGATAACCTCAAATGGTCAAATGATTGCCCGGATAAATATGAAAAAGGCAAGAACTTTCTACCAAACCGAGTCATACAGTGCTTGCCACGTGGAATGAGAAAGTTCTACGATTAGTACTTGCGTGCTCAGATAACAGAATTAGAAATCTTACAAGCATAGATCCCTGTCGGCACATTTGGAGCCCCAGGTGGGCAAATTGCCGTTGAGTTTAGGGATATCCAGGCATGCTTCCACCTCGGACGAATGGAAATGAATCTAATTCGCATATGGTGCATGTAAGTCCTTGCCCCTTGATATGATACGAATGTAATCTTTTAATTTTATTATAACTAACCCGCGTTGTGATTTGTAGAATGCAAGCGGACTTTGTGAAAAAGAGGCCAGCTCTGAAACACGGGCATATATACCCTTCACCTATAGCATCAACAAATTTTAATTACCCTAAAGATTAGAAACTAGATTGCAAAGAACTAGGAGCTGGAAAGACACTTAAGGAGAAAGAGGACATCATGAACAAGAAAATATTGGAAGAGTCCCTCAAGGTTGCGGCATACATTGCCCTATGTTTTAAAAATCTCCAACAACACGATAATATATGGATACCATACCACTTCAAGAAGTTCGACTATATACTTAGTTTTGTTCTTTGTTCGATGGAAAAGAGCTTATATGTTCCTTCAATGACTAAATTCATGCAGCGATCACTGGATTTGCATAGGCGTCTGGCTCTCACATAGCATGGCATGGGTCTTTGATTCAGCGGATTTCCCAGTCGAGACATACAAAGACTTCATAGCGATTGTCAAGATGTATACATATTGACAATCCTTATTTTAGCTACTATGTTTGTATACATACTTGTAAGATTCAATGTGGAATACTAACAAGTTGTATTTGCTAAAACCATTGAAACAGGGCATTCAGACACTATGTCCAGGAACATAAGGGGAGGCATCATCCAAATAGGAAGGAAAAGTTGTATGTCAAAACTCTATGTGCGGTAAGTGTCATTTACTTTGGTACTCCATATATTACGTGTCTGTCAATAACATTACTTAACATCTCCATATGCAAAACACACAGTGCCCCAAACAGAAGCCTGGGAGTTTACACTGTGGATACTACACATGTATTATGATGAGTAGCACCGGTGGCTACAACAGAAACCCCAATCTGGTAAGTTTGAACCTCTTCGCTCGTAGTACGAAAAGTTCGTATATGTTGTGATATAGTAAATCTAAACTTGTTCTCTTGTAGTTGGAGAAAGATAAAGACACGAGAAGGAACCCATACAAGAATGACGAGCTCTTAGAGATGGTCGGCAACCTTTGTAACTTTATAATGGACCAGATTGTGTACTATAAAGGCACTTACCATCATCTTCTTTCCGACTTAGGTAGTAATTCTCTATACCAACATCTTCGGGAGACTGATAGGCTAGCCCTAGGTCGTTGATGACAATGTGGACTTGTGGTATGGTTTGGATCAGACTTTGGAACGGTTTAGACTTTGTTTTGCATGATGGACTTTTGTGAATTATGACTTGTGATGATGTTCTAAATAATGGTCTTGTGTTTATGGATATATATATGTATATTTGTGGCGGTCAGATTCAAATTTGAATTGTATATATATATATGGTCAGATTTGAATTTAAATTTTTTTTTTCTAGAAATCTACTGTAGAGACAGTTCTTGATTAAACCGTCCTTACAAATACACACAGCAGGAGCGACTGGTGATACAGCCGCTCTTACAGAAGTCCACTACAGGAGCGGCTGATATTACCAGTCGCCCCTACAGAGAGAACTGTAGGGGCGGCTGAAAACACCAGCCGTCCCTACAAAGGGCACTGCAGAGACGATCAGAAAACCGTCCCTACAGAGACACCCTCTATAGAAACACACTAGAAAGAGCGGCTGATGCAGCCGCCCCTACGTATGCTCTGGAACCGCCACTACATAACATTCTGTAGTAGTGGCGCCATCGTCGGCCTGCTGCAGCCGCTGAACCCGCCGCCGGGGTCGTCTCCGCATCTCCAAACCGGCACCGGCACCCCTCCGCCGCCGGCCCAACCGATGGAGTGCATGACGCCGCTGGCCGGCATGCTGCCGTGCACGGACTACCTCACCAACGTCACCGTGCTGACGCCCCCCGGCGAGTGCTGCGACGGGCTCAGGTCCGTCGTCAGGGACGCGCCCATCTGCCTCTGCCACGGCATGAACGGCGGCATGAACCAGTTCCTGCCCAGGCCCGTCGACCCCATCCGCACGACCATCCTCCCGCTCGCCTGCGGCACCATGCTGCCCATCCAGACGCTCTTCGCCTGCAACTGTAAGTTAATTACAATGCGTCGCGTTATGAGATTGATTCCATAGATTTTATGTTATTTTATATATGCTTGCATTCCATTGCAAGGAGACTAATCTGATGATGCATTGTTCCTATTTGATTTGATTGACAGCGCAACAGGTGCCCCAATAATGCCTCCGACCCCAGCAAAGCCGCCGATGACGCCTCCTTCAGTGTCACCGTATATGGTAGATGGTTTCGTCGAGTTTAGAAGTTTTAAGATGGTAGTATTAGATAGTTAAGAAAGTCATCACAGAGAGTACATGGTGGAGTCATGTGTAGTTAAGTTTGATGCAATCGTCAATATAATGTGTAGTAGTGAAAAACATATTGAATGGTCAAGGAATTTCTGCCTCAAAGTTACCTCGATGTCATGATTGAAGATTTTTAACAGCCCGTGATAGTTTGTCCCTTTTTCTTTCTTGTTGCGACCTTTGTCTGAATTTCCATATTGGCAACGGTCTTATCTAGGCTAGATGCCTAGATCTACATGTCATGTTTACGCCTGGCTTTTGGTAGTCTCTGACTATCTGATATGTCGATTTTATTGTATCAATTCTTTCATGGGGCCACCCACCAAATCTGGCAATACGCGAGGGAATTACTTCCAGTAGTGATACATATAACTTATACGCGAGAGCTCATCAATCAAATATAATCAACAAGCATTTGTTGGAACAGACACTTAAGCAGATGTGCAATATTGTTCATATATAAAATGACATAAATAGTGCTCTGATCATGGATCAGGCGCTTATTTGGAGTAGCCAGATTATGGAGCCAATACAAGGGAAATGGAACAGCAACTCCTGATGTGCTGGCTTCGATAATGTTTGCCTCGGGGTTAACATCTAACCTTGGAGCCCAATGATACCTGATAAGATGAGGAAAATGTGGAGCCGAGTTAAAAATCCACAGTATTGTATTGTGATAAATAAATCGAGAAGCATTATATACAAAGTTCAGCAACAGTGAATTAAACCAGGATACAGAAAAGGCTCCGCCATATAACTTACCACAGGCAACACGTCCGCCAGCATTTCCAGTGCTCTTGCTAAGCTCATGTCCACCTGATGAACCAGAGTAATTGTTAAATGAACACCTTTTATATAGGATTGATTTGTATAGCAATCATACACCTATATTAGTTAGAAACAATAAGAGTGTCCAAAAATCAGCACAAAAGTGCTGCCTAAAAGACGCAAACAGAGAAACACTAGTTGACTCAACAAACTTTTGTTACAAAAGAAACATCCATGGAATAATTAATAACCAGACTCAAGTAGTACACATCCAGAAAGTAGTTAAAATCAAGAAAATTCCCCTAACACAGTAATGCATCCACCTTTTATGTACGCCGTCATTACATAAACTAACTGATAGGCAACAGATTGATCGAAAAGCATGTTAAAATTGTTTGCAAAAGGAGAGAAATGCAGCTAAGGCTAGATGTCCGCCAAATTTTCACAATACTCTAATATTATGAACTTTATCTACTCTTTAAAGGATAGTGCAAACTGCAAACGTACAAACAGCATAACAGAAACTGCTTTGGAGAAACCATAAAGATCTGACAAAGATCAAGCCGCGAAATGCATGATCCAAATGTTTACTGAGAATTACCCTTGCCAAGGTCATCAGGGTCAGCATGGACAACAACAGCTCGGCCAATGATTGAGTGTGGCCCAGTGAGAGGAATCTGCCGATCAAAATTGGGTTCCATGTGAAATGAACAAGTTCAAACCAAAATGCAAAGGAAACAGACAACATGGTTACTACTTAGAGAAAGCGAGTATCGCTAACCTGGCTGTCAGTAATATTGACATTAACAACACCTGGAAAACCAACAAGTAAACTGTCAGTGGGATTATGCGCTGCAGTCTCAACGCAGCAAATTACTTTTGAAAATAAAGAAATCAACTCTTTTCAGCCAACTATTATAATGGTTTCTCCAGTACAAATGAACCAAACAGAGGCAAAAGGCAGTGAGACAAAAATACCATCTTCTCCCGCTGTCGCATTCCCAAGATCACCGGCATGGCGGTTCTCATCTTCGGGTGCGCCATGCTCCTTACCAGCAGGATTGAAATGTGGCCCTAGAGCACAAAACAACCAATTCCGCCCCGTAAGCACAGCACAATCCACTTGCCCTGATCAAACACACATAGCACAGGAAAGATATGCAGTAGGTACCAGTCGACATGCAGCCGTTGGTGGTGTCACCAAGCGCGTGCACATGGAACCCATGGAGCCCCGGCTTGAGGCCAGAGATACTTCCAGTCACGGTGGTCGGACCTAAGCATGAACCAGATACTCTCGTTAGCAACCAGCCAGTCAATGTGCACAGAGGAATAGAGCACAGGAATCCTCATCATAAGTCCAAACATGTGAAGGGAATTACCATCTCCCTCTTGGGAAAAGAAGATGGTGCCCTTGACATCAGGGCCAGCGAGGACAGCAACCGCCTTCACCATTGTCTCTTGTGATCTGCCACCAAAGCCCCGAGGGAATAAAGTTCATCTCAGTAGGCTTAATAGGACATGGTGGCGAGCTATAGGAAGTGCTGAAGAATCAAAGCTCAGCAGCATCTGTAGCCAGTATACTGCAGCTAAATGCTTCACTGCATAATAAGTCAACGCAGCCTATGTCCATTCAGTTAGTATGCTGCAGCACTAGGATTAGCAACACGTTAATACTAAGCATCAACACGCCTGTTACACAATCATACACAAATTATGTGTATACTACTACTACAGTCTACTCAGTAAACCCAAATCTTTCTACCAAGTAACTCCAACATACCCCAAATCCCGTACCGCACACGAACTGAAGAGCAACAGGTCCGGCTAATCCGGCAGAATCGGCGACCACGGATATAGGGTACCAAAATCAATCAGGCAAACAAAAGCGATAATATAGAACCCTAGGGTTTAGTGCAGGTGAGAGGGGCGCACCTATAAACGAAACGACGAGAAGCGACTAGAACCCTAGGAATTGGGGGTTTCAGGTGATTGATCGATACCTCAGGCGACCCCCTGCGCGAGATGAGATGAGGAGTTTGGAGAGGAAGCGAGCCCTGCCCGTGGAAGACTGACGAACCGAGGACTACGCAGCTCAAATTATCACCGGTGGCCTGCAGGGTACAGGGTGACGCTATATCTGACGCAGCTAGATCACCACCTACCCCTCCTTTATAATTTTATTGTTTTTTTTTCGGCTGACACCGGAGTGCTCCATTTTTTCCCGTAAAAGTGTAATTCTAGTTTTTAGACGAAAATCTATGTAAAAAAATAACATTTGCGATGACATTAATCACAAAATATATTTTTACAGGTAGAGATCAAATGTTGCTACTGTTTTTATAAGTTCAATTAGATTTAAGAAAATTTGACTTGGTTGAAATCTAGAAATAGAAGGAGGAGTATTATATTAAAACTACTCTATCCGTTTAAACTGTATTAATCTTTTTAGATATATTGTTTTTATTATGTATATGTATCTAGACTATGATAGTGTATATATATAAGTAAATAGCAAAAACTGCGTATATAAAAAAGTCAAAACATTTTATAATTTAAAATAGAGTGAGTAATTTTCAAATTCATGATCGGATCTGGCAGGGACTCAGGGAGGGAGAGAGCTACTAGACTGTCTCCAACAAACGATGCATTATGTGACTCATTACTAAAATGCATCGTTCACGGTGAAAAATCACCCTCCAACGGACTACGCAAACGGACTACCTATTTTGCGTCCACGGTGAGAGGGCAGCCAAAACTGCATCGACCTCCGCCTCCGCGCGCGTGAGAAATAGGGCTGCCGCGAGCATGAGCTCCGCTCCTCCATGGCTAGCGGCGCTTCTTTCTCAGCTCCATGGCCGGCCGCCGGCGCAAGATCCAATCCGGTGGCTTCCTCCGGTGGCACTTCTTCCTCCGACTACTGGTGCGCGAGCGCCGCCCAACCAGATCCCGGCGGTGCGTGCAGCCTTCTTCACGCGTTGTTACAAGCACCGCTTCAGCTCCGCCGGCGCGGCTTGGGCGGTGTGTGGGCGCGGCTCCATCCCCGGCGGGTCGGCCACTGCTCCATCCCCGACGGCGTGCTTCGCGAGCTCCGGCGGCGGATCGAGGCAGATCGAGGCCGATCGAGGCATATGCGACGGCGTGCGGCCGGATCCCTCCTTCCTCGGCCAGATCCGGCATGGAGGCGAGCGAGGAGGAGGCCAGCGTGGAGGTGGCCGGCGCTCGGCGAGGAGGGAGGCGGCCGGCGCTCGGCGGGGAGAGAGGCGAGCGGCGATCGGGGCTCTCTTTTTGCGTTCGCTGTTAGAGTTCGTCGGTTTTGGGTGCCTTTGTCTTTCACTGTGCGTGACCAAAACGGTAAAATAGATGATGTGTTTGCGTCGGCTCCGTCGGAGATAGTCTTAGAGACTTGCTGGTTGCTGCCGAAGGGACCGGCACGCTGAAGGCCCGCCACCGCCGCTCGTTCTTGGGCCGTCTGGAGCATTCACGGCCTGGTATGGTGTGTACTTGGTGTAATACCTCTAAAAAAAGTGTACTTGGTCAGGTGTAATATGTCAAAGGACGTATGAGCTCGATGTCGTCCTCGTCATCACGATGAATCATTTCAGGCCAAGCAAGGCCAAGAACGACAATGAGAACAATCAGCCTGTTCGTTTCGGCTGAATTGGCATATAAGTCATGGCTGAAAGTACTGCTTGCTGGTTTGGTGTGAGAGAAAAATACTATTTAAGTCCTGTATTATAAGTCAGATATGAGCGAATAAGCCGAAACGAACAGGCTAAATGTGTCGGTGCAGGAACCAGGTGAATGAGCTTCATATACAGAGGTGAAAGATGCAGCGGCTGCTGGGTTGCTTGATAGAATCCCAATTAGGATTTGGGGGTTTCTGGTGATTGTCTCAGGCGAAAGGTCTCAACTCTCAGCTTGGCAGCTTCTGCCTCTAATCTTCAAGACAGGAAGAAAATACTGCGGCACAACTAATCTACCAAGGTTCAAGAATCATAGTCACAGCACAGGAGGAACTGACAAAAGAATACTTAACTATAATTAACGCCATCATACAAACATGAATCCATATGGCTAACAAATATTTAACTATATAATTAACTACTACGGCGGTAGTGGTAAATACAGCTGCAAAGCACCGCCAGTCAAAACGATGCCATCCTATATGCACATCACTCACCTACAACAAACGCATGAGCCACGTTCACTTCTCTTATAATCCGTCTTTTTTAGCTTATTTTTTAATTGGAACAGCATTTTCTCTCCCAACAAATTAGCTGAATAGTGATTTCGATTTGTTTTTTCAGCGAAACGAACGGTCAGCTGTCTCTCTTCACGATTCGATCCTGCAGCGCCGCGCCGGGCCTTGTCATTAGAGGCTCAGAGCGCGACGATTGGGCCCGTAGGCCTGCAGTGCGCGGTGAAGAGCCTCGCGGAGAAGAGGCCCCTGGCCACCTTCCTGAGATCGAACGCCGCGCGGGGTGCAGATGAGGAATGCTTGGACGATGATCCCCTGACGATGTGCTCGCGCAGCGTCAGGTTCTCCTGCCTCATCACGTCCATGGACGACGCCAGCTGCCTGATCACCTCCCTCTTCTCCTCGTCCTTCCGGGCCAGCTCCGCCCTGAGCGCCGCCGCGCTCTCCTCGGCCGCCTTCTGCAGCGCCGCGTTCTCCGCTTTCAGAATCTCGATCTCCGCGCGCATCTGCTGCTCCGCCTGCTCACGCTCTTGCTCCTGCTCCGGCAACGACGGCTCCGTCTTGGTCTCTGCCTCGTCTTCGTCTTGCTCGGGGTCATCCACTTCAGACTCCGAGTCGTACATGGAGGCCGAGCAGGAGGAGCGAGGCGTGCAGGAAGACAGGCCGAACACCGTGTGCCGCGTGCCGCTGCTGTGCTTCAGCAGGTTGTACTGCTCCGCCAGCGAGCGGTGCGTGCGGTACAGGTCGCCCAGCATGTCCACCAGCACCAGCCGCTTCTTGTAGTACATTTCAGCGCGCTGGGCGAACGAGTCCGCATCTTGGTCGATCAGCTTCAGCATTTGCTTCGTCTTGTCATCCAGCTCTGAGATCGAAGGGAAGGACAAACACAAATACACAATAATCTCTCAGTAAGCAAGATGTAATTCTACGACTGAGCCCAAAGGTCTTAAAGACAACTACAGGACAGAGTAACCCGGTTATAAATTTCAACGCGGTCATGTAAAGTCAAGTGCAAATGTGCAATATATAGATGTCATAGTTTGCTCTAATGATTCAGATGACATTAAATTAACTCGATGGATTATCAAGACAGTTTTGGAGTGATGATCATTAGAGAAATTTCCAGACAAAACTCAAAATGGAATTTGCTATAATTCACTGAATTACTTCAGGTATTTCCTCATGGCATAAATGATAAAACAAATAAGTAATAGCACTGGCGTTTAGAGAAAATAATTCCTAGTATATGACAATTGACAAGAATACAAGAAAAGCATGCTAACGTACTGTTTACAAAATGAAGACAGTTCCACATGTTAAAAGCACAGTAAGAGCAGCAGAGCATCCATTATCAGGAAATTCAGGCTAGCGAGGCAAAACCTGAAAGCGTCCTGTTCAGCCATGGAGATGGCCTGGCGAGGTTGTGGCTGTCGAACCACCATGCCTGCGGCAGCTCCTCCTGGTGCACCATCTTGTCTCGTCACTTACCTTACCTGAAGGGTTCACAGAAACCAACAGTGTTACACAAATGGGAGAGTTCGGATGCCACAATTTTTTTTTCTAGATTTGTATTATAGATTTGCCCCTCCCGTTCATCGTCAAAAAAAGATTTGTATCAAAGATTGATATTTTTCAGGTTTGTGGTATCCCTTACAAGTTAGGAAACAAGAACAGATGCCGGAAAAGAACCGATCGTAGCCTGAAAAGTTCAGCTGTTGTACCTCAGGGGAAAAGGACACTAAAAAAAATCAGATCGTTTTCGATGCACCTTATGCAGTTCATGTCACGGAACAAATCAGAACTTGAAGGGGAAAAAAAGAGTTTTCAGTCTACGGATGCTCACTCCAGGAGTGCTACGAGCCTACGGTTCGGCCTACGGTTCGTAAAACTATGGCATGCCATGCGAACAGTAAGAATAAACAGCAGCAGGGGTAAAAAAGAAGGCTGTACTGAAGAACAGAGGAGGCGTACGTCGCCTGAAGCCCAGAACTAGGTAGGAACTGAATCTGTCAGGCAGTCGACATCGCTCGTGTACTGAGCAGCCAAGAATCCTATAGAAGCAGCAAGAACTCCTATGCTGGCACGGCAGGACAAACCCAAACGCCCGGCGAAACACCGAACAGCTCCGAGAAACCAATCGAAGCGCGGGCGCCCGTAACAAGGTCGGTGACAGCAATAACAGATTCACCCGCCCCGCACAATGACGATGACCCCGCCCGATCCCGACTCCAAGAAATCGCCTCACCACGCCACGCCAATCTGAACTCCTCCGCAGACGATGGCGCGGCCAGATGAGGGGAAAAAACAGACACGCCGGCAGGCAACCGCAGCGATCGAATCGAGAAGTTAGAGAGAGAGGGGAGAGGGAACAAGTGGGAGCCGCACGCACGGCGGAGGCTGCTTAGTTGCGGGCTGCTGCTCCGTGGCGGAGGCTGCCGTTGGGCTGCTGCTGCTGCTGCTGCACCTGGCCTCTCCCCTTCCGCTGCTTTGAGGATGGCGAAGCGGAGGATGCGGACAAACCCCTCTCGCGGATTTTCAAATCCTGCCGCTCCACGACGACGGCTCTATGGCTCGATGGGGATTGGGAAGGGCGATCTTGCGGGAGAGCCCTCGGAGAAGGACGGTATTTATTTCCCAGGTTGGAGAGTGGCACGCGCCGCGGGCCGTGGTGGGATCGGATTTGGTTTTCTGGGTGTAGCAGGGTGCGGAAAGCGTGTTCAGACTGGGCCATAGGTTCATGGGGGTGACTGGCAGGTGGGCCCAGGTAGAGTCAATCCTGGCCAGTCAGTCCATCTCGGTAAGCGCTAGGTAAGAGGAGTAATTAATAATTCAGTACTCTGGTAAAAAAAATGTAAATGTACAGCAGCGCGAATGCTAATATAGGAAGGGCACGTACAACGCATGTTGTGATGCCGTCTGTACGCACTAAGGCCTTTGGTTTACAGGATTTTCAAAGGAATTTTAAATGAATCATATTCCTATAGTTTAAAACACTGTAGCATCGTTTGAAATGGAGGATTCGTGAGTTCCCTTCGAGAGAAAAGGCTCCCGCAGACGCTCGTTTTACAGGAAAAAAAGAATCCACTCAGATCTCAGGTTTTGATTTTCTTCGAGCTTACCCAAGAATCCACATGTTACTTTCTGCGTTTTTCCTATGTTATAGATTCCTGTTCCAAACACCCCTTCTAGTTATTTCCCGCGTTTTTCCTTTTCTCTGTTTTATCACTACACACTCATTACACATCTGCAGTGCTTTTTTTCTATTCCCGTGGGAGAGGAAGGGAAGGGCCACGCTTCAAACAGGGCCCTAAACGATGCAAATTTGCCTGGTTAAAATGAAGAAAGAGAACTGCGGCGTGGAAGCTGCTGAGGATGAGGCGGGGGTTGTTGGGCCAGCAGGAATGTTCCAACGCTCATTTTGGTGCACACAAATTTAAGGTCCGTAGTAGAGTCCCTATCCTGGAGTTGGATTTTTATGTGATGTTTTTAGCTATGGGGATTAAGAACAATATTTTTTCTCTCAGGGCACGTAAAACGCAAAGAATGATGCCGTTTGCACACATAAACGATGTAAATTTGCCTAATTAAAATGAAAAAAAGAGAACCTGGTCGTCGTCTATTCTCGGCTGTGCCTCGTGCTCCGATCTCAATACAGATCCAATGTGCACACGCTATGGCCAGTGCCATGATAAGCTCGGGGTGTTTGCTTTCCACCTCCTAAAATTTAGTCTTTATCACATCGACTACGATAAACATATTTAACACTATTTAAAGTATTAAATATAGATTAATTATAAAACTAATTATAAGATGGATTGAGACTTAATTTCTATGATTTGGATAAACGGATCTATTGAAGATTAATAAGTCCATGATTTGATAATAGTATGTGTAATTAGTTTAATTATGTAAAAATGATGAATTAATTAGACAATAATATGATATCCAATGTGACACCTAACTAAATTTTTAGATTCAAACACGGCTTCAAGGTATAATTAATTTTATTATTAATATCCCATCAATCAAATCATATCAAATAAAATGATATGATCTTCAATAAAAATAACACCTTGTTTATACTTCAAACACCCTAAATCCAACTTTGGCACTATATATAAAAAGAAGATAATCTTCAAATTTTGCACATAGAGCTACTAAATGTTGACGAAAGTCAAAATCCCATCAATCAAATCATTCTCAAATTGAAATGCTTGTGGACTCTCAAATAAAAATAAATGCTCCTGTTTGTACTTGAACAACAAACTTTTTATCCGGTCACTAAATATAAAATAAAATCTCTCAATTTTTTATTCAGGAGTAGAAAAGTTTATATTATATAGATAAATATATTACTATATTATTTTATTTTGATGGTTCTAAAATATTGTATTGTGTTTATATGTTTATCTTATTGATGCTCGATTTATTTTGTATTAAGAAGCAACACAACAATATACATGAATTATATTCATGTTTGATCATGGTTATATGTAGGTATTAAAAAGTTTGTAGAAGCCTAAATAAATAACCTATTGTATAAGTTGTTTATTAAGTTGTCTATTATATATAAATATAGTAATATATCATTTATATTCATGGTTTTAAAAAATATTGCAACCATGACCACCTTATTTATGTCTGATCTTTTTATCATTGAGCAACATAATGGTATACACGAATCATATTTACACTTGATCATAGCTACATGCAGACATTAAAGGATTAATAGACAGCCAAACAGACAGTCCATTATATACACTCTCTGTTTAGCTGTCTTTATGTATCGTATGTGATATTATATATAGACAGCTGGCTCATCAAGTAGTAGCGGATTGTGCATAGTTCATACTGCTGGTAGTATATAATCTAATAATGCACAGCATACTTGGATCTACTGATGGTAATAGTTAGCAACTAAAATTATTACTAATGCATGTAAGTAGCCAACTAACAATTAGCTAGGGGCAAACTAGCTAGTATTAGTTTCACTGGGTTGGCCGGACTGCTAACATGTGCTAATAACCAGCCAACTATTAGCAACATGCATATTAGTAGGTGGATCAAATAACTCCCGCTAAACAATTAGCTAGCTAGCTATTAGTACGTAAAGTAGGAGGAGCCAGCTACAAATTTTATTTCATTTTCCCTACAAAATTTTGGTTACACACATCATGCATGTGGTAAGTTTCTTTTTCCGAAAATGCATATGGTAAGCTTTAAAGATGTGCCAAAATTTAGAGCAAAAACGAACTGTCATCCAGTTCAAAACTTCAAACTCGAGAGAAAATGGAGCGTTTGTGCAGCATTGGCGTTGCTGTCGCCTGTCGCGGGCGGTGCCGAGACTAGAGAGGAGCGCGCTGGCGCTGCCAATGCCAATGCCAATGCCAATGCCAGGAAGCCAACGGAAAGAGGGCCCAAGGGCTCTGGGTCGCTTTCGGAAAGCGCGCTGCCGCGGACTCTACTCGGGCCCTGTCCTGGGTGGGTAGTTTACGCACGGACGCCGCTTTTTTATACTAGTCGTTGCAGACTCGCACGCAATGCCGCTGCGTTCCAGTCCACCAACTCAATAATTAAATGGTTTTGCGAAAAAAATACTGCTCCCTCAATTAACAAAATACAATTTTAGGTTTTGAACAAGTATCTTTTATTTTCGATTAAATTTTTGAAGTAATAATTTTAATATTTATGGCTTGAGATATATTTACTATAAAATGTGTTCCATGATTTATCAAAAAAAACTCAAGCAGCAGGAGAGTGACTTTTCCACTGATATTTTATTAAGAAGAAGAACTTCTCACGTAGCTCGTGAGACGAGACGGCTACCCTCAAGTCTTAAATTCGTTCCCGTGGAGAATCGATCTCAGGACCTGAGGGGTGCCGTCGGAGCCATCTAACCAGTCCGGCTATAAAACGTGTTCCATGATTTATCTAATAATATTTATTTATTATTATAGATGTTAGTATATATTTGTAGATTTTGTATATAAATTTAGAATTGTTTAACTACCCGAGAAAGCAAGAATTTCTTTGTTTTATATGTTCTGTTTCTGAGTACTTCAGTTTTAGTTGAAGTTTGTGCTACCTGTGGCGCGTCCTCCTCTGGCTGGTGTGAGGATTCTATTGGCTTAAAACATGTGCTGCAATCGGCTTTTGGTCTTTTGGCTAATATATAGTCGGATGGGAGGGGCTGTTTGCCCTCGAACTCTAAAAAAAGCAAGAAATTCTTTTTTTTACGCAGGGAGTAATATGCAAGGCTAATAAAATAAATATAAATTGTGAAACGATGCAGATTGTGGAAGCCAAGGTAGATGACAGCTTGGCCGAGCTCGTTAACCTAAGATTAAGCATCAGAGGCTAATAATACACGGTCAGCAGCCGGCTGTAAGATTTGTTCGTAGCCATCTTTCAAACTCCATATAAAAGCTTTGGTCTAATCTTTTTTACCGCCATGGAGTGATCCCCACTCTC